CCAAACGTTTACAGTTCGGACAAAGTTATATGGAACTTTCAGTAAAATTAATTACACTACAATTAACAATTACAAAACATACGTGAGTAAAGTTCAGAAATAATTAACTTGTACATGTATGTAGTTTACGGGAGTGGTACCTACATATTTAAATTAAACACTTTTAAGGGTTTCAAATTATTAATTTACACTTAATAGAAGAATAGAAAAAGAGAAAACTTTAAATAAAAATAATAATACGCTTATCTTTGGCTACACTGTACTAAATGTATTTCCGACGCTGAAAAGCTAAGTTTTGCACTAAAGGACTGATAGACATGCACACTTTTTAATATTCTATTTAAATTAATATGATCTACATGTAGCACAGCACAACGGTTCTTCGCTTCACCACAATACTAACATTTATGTATTCTTAGACAAATAAATTAACCAATAGTTCCCCAATCGTAAAAGCACCAAAAACGCCAGTTTCCTTCCACAACCGTTCCTTCGGGACCGAAAGGGGATTGCTTCAATCTCGTCTGGTCCCACGGGACTCACTTTAATTTAGACCTCAGCGAGTTAATGAGTTATAACGCACTTACGGCACTTGTAATTAACATGTTAATACAACATTACTTGAGCTCAAAGTTGAATCCCGGTGGGAGCTGCCTCGTGTGATCCAGCTTACTTACTGTATTAAGTGTTAACAATTGTTTAAGTAAATAGTTATAGAATTGGGGCGAGGTGCTCCGCGTAGGTGAATGCGCAAAATGGCGTCGCCAAATAGCGTTTAGAGGACGTAAACTTAATTGAAAGGAACCCTAATAGACAATTATCACTATATTATAGAGCTGAAAAGTTTGTTTGAACGCACTAATCTCAGGAACTACTAGTTAGTAAAAATTATTCTTATTTAATTATAATTATAAATATCTGTTTTGGTTAGAGCATTTATCGCAGAAGGCTATAAAACATCGCGCCGAGGCCAATAGAAGCAAAGAAACAACGGGAAATGTAGAGCAAACAAGGAAATTTTGAGAGTTTTCTTTGCGAAAACAGTTAAAAAGAAAAAAAAAATTATAAAAGAATGATTCCTGTTTAAATGATCTAAAAAAATGGCCGATAATAATCTCTATCTTATAAGAATAACTCGTAATATCAATGTGTAACAGCTATAATAAACGAGCTTGTTTGCGGAAATAACTATTCAACGTGGACGAAGTCACGTTGAATAGTTATTTCTAGACAGCTAGTACTGAATATAAGGACCTCATTTCAACGTTCCATCCTCAAAAATTAACATATATATTTATTTTAAATAAAACACACTTAATGGTTAAAAACGTCGTTACTTCCAAAACCATACCGCCGATCGATCTGAAATTTGGTTACTTATGTATTTTGACCTCCTAATCACATACCATACGAAAATTGGCCAACTTTTGAATATTAAAATCGAAAAAAACCTCTTTACGTTCAGTTCCTAATCACCATTTCTAACCAATTAGATATTTGAGCTTTTCCCGAAAAGGGTGTGTGTATGTGTTTGTGTGTTGTAACCATTTTTTACCCATAGCATCAAGTTCGTCAAACTGAGGTTGCATGGCCAAAACCCTAACTTTACATGTCCGCTATACAATTTCAACTTTGTGGTGATTTTCCACTGTGGTACATGAACTCGGTGAATACTTTTCGATATTGCAATCAAACTCAGTGAATAATTTCCATTTACTTTCGGCTGTCAGATACAAACTGCGTATATTTTCCTTTATATTAGTCGAAGTCCGAGAATGTTTTTTATAGTAATAGTCGGCCTATGGAAATATTTGCCGCTTTTGTCGATAGACTTGAGATCTTTCCGCTATATAGCCTATTCTCGAGTGGTTTTTTGTTTTCCTAATCGACCTGGAATATTTCCCGCTTAGTAATTCCATTTCGTGAAAATTTTTTGATTAGGCACACTAACGAAAAGAGGTTTTTTCATATTCAAAATGGCGTCCTTTTCATTATGATATTCGTTTAGGAGGTCAAAATACATAAGTATACCAAATTTCTCGTCGGCGGATGGCTTTTCGGAAGTTTATCCAAAACGTTAAATTTATTAGTTAACTTACAACTTATTCTAACTACAATCCGACGTTTCGAATGCTTTGTAGCGACCATGATCACGGGGGGACTGAAGATGGAGGATGTAAGTTCTGCAAGCAGCCAGTTTAAATACCTCGCGTAAATAACATACAGTGCTGAACATAAACTCTCTTTTATTATCGGAATAAAAAAGTGGGTAGTTAAAACTTTCCAACATACGCCACAACAACTATACCGCCGAGTCAGTTAATTCAAAACAGATAAAGCAATAAAGAGCATATTTCGCAGAGTGAGCACGTGTTAACACTATATTAGACAGAAAAATTGCCCTTAATGACGGCCCTTTTCACACAAAACATGTCAAGGGCTTTTTGTTCTTCAACCCTATTACGGAGTAATGTGCGTTTTTGAGTAACTGCTCTTTCAAGAGACGGACGGGACTTCGTTTAGGACTTTTAAGGCCCCAACTTAGAGCTAGTTTAGGGCTCTAAGCTTTAATAATGTTTTGTTAATAAATACATATTAATTTAATTATAAAACACTTAAATACTTTTGCTTTTGAAAAACTGCCTAATGACTTATTTTCTACAAAGAAATAATAGTTAGACATATATGGACCATTTATAACTCACGATTTAGTTTTTTCTTAGTTTCATTGTATTTATTTATTATTGTACTCGTTATCATCTGTACTTTACGCGAGCAATGTATATTTAATAAAAACACTTTTAACGGTTTAAAATACACGCGAATCCGAACGTCGGATCGTAATTAAATTGCTTATAAATAAGTTAAATAATATATTTCTGGTGCCAAAGCGTTAAAAGTGTTGTACTGACACTCGTTATCTATTATTGTATCGGTGTAGTATTTTGCAGTTTTGTATTTTAAAAAATCTTATTTTATTTATATGATATGATAAACTCAATTAATTTTAATAAATATTCATCAAATCGACATATAGTAAGTACTGAATATATAAAATGTACGAATTGTAACAAAGCTAAACACTTGTAGTAAGCTTGTGAGTAACGAAGTTTTAAAATGCTCTACGTTCACTTGGCTATAATATTGTCTCTAACTTTATAATGTAATGTTTAAGCTAGTAGTACGTAGTTCATGAATAAGCTTATCTAGAACGCTGTAATATATCGTGATAATCTTACTCCGAGGAGGAGAAATGTTGAGCAATTTCTAATCTAATCTAATCATTGTGATAACTTGGCTTTCAAACAATGTCCCAAGTAGAAATTTTACTGCTACATATTAGTAGTCTTTGCAATCTCGGTTCTTTCGGGGCCCTGGTGCCCCATAACTGAAGAATGCAGACCCGTACTTTCAACGTCATTCCCAGAGCAATTTCGAGTGCTACAAAGGTCACGTTTTCACTTACTGCCCTGCGTTTGGATCATTGACGTAATGGGAAAATCCATACAAAAATCCACTACTGCATTGTCACGCAAAAGTGGACTTAAATGCCCCAAAATATGACACTAATTGCTCCAAAGCGCGTGCGTTTGTACTTTGTATTACCATGATCATGGGTGCCATTTGCAGTACATGCCCGGCCATTCTCTCTTAATAAAACTTCATAGAAATATTTCCCTCTATCATTGCGAGATATATTTTCTGGGGCGGAGTAAATTAGGTTATATAGAGCCAATTTGCGGGTAGTTTTCAACTTCATGTTTGAGTATTTTCTTATTTATTTGTTACTTTGTTTTACTTTGAAGTTACGGTTACGAGTTCCTTGTTTGTTGTTTAAGACATCTCTCACAAAAATATAGTTGAAAAGATTAATCTATGTTTAATAGAGAGAAAAAAGTTCGTCTGTAAGTCATTTAATCTTTTTTGCTTCGGTTAAATTTTTATTTGAGCTACCGTGTCCTATACACGTCATCGTCGGTTTTTTTTTAATCAGTATAACTGTTTTGCTAAATAACTTAAATAATTATTTTATTTGATGGCATTAGTTATATAAAATAAAAATCGATTCCAGACGTGTAGAACACGATAGCTCAAACGGTAAGCAACAACCAAACAGATCTACATTCTATCTTTTATTTTGTTGTTTTACGTTGACGTATTAAATGCTTATGACCTTCTTTCGTGTAACCTTTTCAAGAAATATCGCAACGGTATAATGCGGTGAAACAAAGTCTGCCAAAATGGGCCGTATCTTAAATGAAGCCTCGAACGCCTTACAATGAACACTCCAATTTCGTTTAATTAAAAACCGTTCAAATATTGGGAATGGATTTTTAAGGAAATCTATTAGAATGTTGATTAAAACGACAAAAGCGGTTCGATTTAGCCGCGAGTATTTTCATGCTAGCTGAGTTTTTTCGGTTTGTGACTAGATGTTTGATTCCTTATTTATCTTCGAGTAATTGTTTTCGACTTGTTTTCCATAGTTTGAAAACTTTAATATTTTCCACACGTCTTGCACATCATGGCACTATATAAATTAAAATTAGATTTTATATTGGAAAAAAAACGACCATTACGACACGGTAGCTCAATTAATAGAGAAACACAACGGGACGCTGTGGATGCCGGGTCAAGTCTTGCCAGTGTCGTAAACTCTTAACAATTTACAATCGATTTTTAATTGACTTAACTGTTTTGCCTCCCGTTATCAATGTAAAAAAAAAAATTTTTTTCGAACTATCGTGGTCTCATTTGCACTGTGTTGGGAAATAGGGCAAACATACGAAGTTGTAACATTCATCAAACTCAAGTGCCCTGCACGACCTTAAATAATTCCCCATTTGGCGAGCTTGGTACTTCTAGTGCTCAATCATTGCGCTGCGAAGGTTTGATTTAGATAAGTACATTTTAAATAAGATTTTTCTAAGTTACGTTTTAGTTAGATTTTATTTTAAAAATAATTTCTAGTCAAATGAGCATCATTTTATGTTTTCAACATGAAAGTAAGTACGCCATCAAATCTTCTCTTCTCTTAGTTACATTTATAAAATAGCTCGTTACACTATTTCTTTGAAAGTAGAAATAATTACTAAATGCCCTTATAATAACAAAACTTATTATAAATGAATTATAATTTATATTGTAAAATAAATTTTTGAGTGGATTAACTAAATGTAAGGCGTCAACGAGACATAATTCCTCGTTTTTTAAATTTCTTCTTACATGAGGGAACCTAACCCAATCTTTGTAAGGAGATCATGTAAATTGTGTGTTTGTTTACCAAAAATGCCAAGTAAGAAAAAATATACTATAGTTTATCCAAGTTCTTTTCTTCGTATACTAAGTACCTCATACTTTTACTTTATGCCCAAGATTTATGTGTGCTTTCAAAGTTACGTTTAGCTAAGGCATAAACTTTGTTGCAGGTGTCCGACGACATCGGGTACGTGATCTACTCAGCGCTGGGCAGCTTCTACATTCCATCGTGCATCATGGTGTTCGTGTACATCAGGATATACTTCGCGGCGAAGGCGAGGGCCAGGCGCGGCATCAGGAAGAACCCGAGGCCCAGATCGGTCAGTAGAGTTTTTATGATAGAGCAGGACAGATAAGCATGGTGTCCACTTGATTTTAATTGGTATTTTGGCTTTGGATCGAAATTCCACAGACTGAAAGCGTAATGCGATTATTCTTGACGGCATTTTCATGTGAGCGGTAATACGTGACCCGGACAGAATCTCGATATTCCCCATCTCCATTTAATATCCAAATTTCTCAACGAAGGTCAATATGTTTCAAAAAATATATAAATGGCTTAGAAAAATGTTGGACCTACGATGATTGCTAATATTACATCAACGTACCCTCTATCATGAATTGACGAAGACCTTAAGAAAGTTTGAACTTACATTAAAGTCTTTAAGGAAGGCAAACATATATTTATTCAATATTTATTTATTTTGAAAGATATCTTGGTATTCAAGTCTCCGACCGGGGTAATTAAAAATTTGTTTTAGTCTTCTCATAATCGAGATACTACAAATCGTGGTTTATCTAATGATGGCGAAATAAACCATAATTCTCAATCGGTATATTTTTCACAGAACGAGCAACAGACCAGTTTCTCGAATCCTCCGAAGGGAACTCATCCGATGCCTTCCTCATCCCTGTCGATGCCGACGGGTGTAGATGCTAGTAATTCTAATAATAATAGGTAAGTTATTCATTCCTCACTCTACATATACAACTTCGGTCTTATAATGTTTTGTATAGGAGAAGAGCACAGAGAAGCATGTCGCGATATTCTAGCTTTTGGACGTTTGGAAACACAAACTTAAGAGTTTCATCCGTGTTTCCGTGACCCGGATGGAATTATGATATTCCTACCATTTAACACCCAGATTTGCTAGATAAAGTTTTATGTTTCAGAAAAGTACCTTACCTTTATTTATTTCAAAATGTACACCCCGCGAAAATCGAACCCACGACACATCGATTATGGTTACGAGTATATTTAACGTACGATTCTATATAATATACTTTACATTTAATCAATATACCAAGGTTTATTTTGCCACATCCCCCATTCACACCACCAGTAAAAAAGGGCATGATAGGCCATATTCTTTAAGTACTCAAAAGTTTGCTCTATAATTAATTACAAAATGTTAATAAAATATGATCGAAGAATGAACTAATTTCGTATTAAACGCGTTACAGGGAAACACAAATATCGACAATAGAGACTCAGCAAGTGCCAATTCCTACGGTGACCTGCGATTTCGCGTCGGATATTTCGACGAGCGAAGCGGGGGACACCGCGCCGCCACCTGACGAGAGGAAAGATACTTTGAAGGTAAAGTGATAAATAAGAGCAAACCAGTCTCCCGTGACCACGCCAGCAAGTCGTCAACAGTTAAAGTTTAACTACTAGTGTACAAAAAAGACATAATTTCCAGTATAAATATATGTTTTCTCCAGAACTCGAACCCAGTTTCTACCTTGCTTAATGCTATGGAGGCGGTCGCTATCAATGTGGAGTGTATGTCATATATGTGTTTGTCATATGAGGTTGTCAAGTCATAGTATGTTTTTAATATTTCAGACTATTAACAAGATAGTTATTACTACTAGATATAATTAAATTCAAACACTATAAACGGTTAAAAAAAAACGAAAAATATAAATAACTTATTCATAACCCCGACCCGACGCTTTCAGCAGCTAAGCACCCGGCATTTACAGTTAAAAAGAGTTATTAAGTGTCTCATTGTGTTACGTTAAAAAGTTACATGAATATAACACATTTATGATATTCGCATTCCGTAGTGCATTGTCCAATCGACATAATTCATCATGCTTCCCCAGGGGTCGAACCTAATACCTACATCTCGTTAACTACAGAACTACAGACAGAGATAATAATTCGAGAGCGATATTTTAAAAGATAGCACCTAATTCTGTAGTCAAAGAGTAGCAGGTACAATTTTTAAAAGTGCTGGCTCGGGTCCAAGAAGACGTGTCGACACACGAACGGGGCTCAATATCCGAGTTATCTCACGTTCGATTCCAGGTATCGATAATATTTCATGAGCTCTTTAACCGGCGCAAAATGGATTCAACGTTTTTATTCACTTGCTTGTAAGTGGTTTTCGTGTTTAATTTTTAGAAATTATAAAATAAAACCGTTTTAACTGAATTTCTGTAAATGAAAAATATTTTGAACTGTTCGTCTAGTAACTCGGAATATCACATATTAAATTCCGGGAATTAATCGCGTTTCGGTTCCAGTCTGTTGATTTACATGCATCAGCTATTATAGATCGACATCGCGTCTTTTTGTGGTGGTATATAGCTGGGCCATTCCACCAGTTATTACTAAGCCCCATGATTTGTCAGAAACTTTTACCTATTATAGAATTTAAATAAAACACTTTAACGGTTTAAAACGCGATATACACAACCAACACCAACACTAACGTCAACCAATTATAAACGTCGGGCCGTAGTTAAAAATAAGTTCAACTAATTGATATTGCATTTTAAAGCGTTAAAGTATTGTATTTAAATATATACTACTCGCATACAGACGAGTGTTTATTATAGAATTGTTGAAGTCGCACATAGTTTTTGAACAAAACGTGTCTTTACTATGATTCTTTCGCACTTAGTATTTTGTTTCAGCAATGATTGCTACTTAAAAACCGGAGAATTCCTCAAATGACATTGACTGAGTACTCCTAGAGTGTACATTAACGATTCCACTTTGCTTCTGTTTGCGTCTCGCTTGTGAATAGTACGTTCGAGTGAGATGCAAATATGACTAGACCAGATATTGTTGAAATAAGCTTTTAGATAGGGAAACGAGTTTATTTTTGGAAACCTTTTAGAAATCAAAATATTTGTTTGTCACAGAGGAGACTGAAAAAAAAATAAACTGTTGTTTTTTTTTTGCCATAGATTATGCATAGTCCAAGTTAAGGGACAGACAGACATCGTAGTCGTTCCATCTGTAGTACTTCCGTTACGTTCTTTAACTTGCCAAAAATTCACAAAAGTTTTTCGTATATTTGATCCTTAAGCAGTCCACAAAAATAATGCAATTACCAACTTACAAATTCATGAAGTTATTCGGTCATTATTTGCAGACATGCTTGAAAGAAAGTGGTAATTCAATTGAGTTTTTTTCTCACAAAATCCATTAAAGGTTGGAAGTGCAATTTGTCTATGCGCTGCGTTTTAAAAGCTTTGCTCGTTGAAAGCTTAAAAAAGCTAAATCTACGATAAATACTAACCGGTAAAAATTCCAATTGTTTTGGAAAAAGTCTTGATAAATTAACGGTTATATACTAAATATTTTGAAGGTATGTGGATCGAAAATTTCGTCTGAAGCAAGCTATAGATTCTTTGGAGACTATAGATTTCAAACAATACAATAAAACTTGACACTTTGTCGCAGGTGGTGACATCAGCGCAAGTGACACGAAACCCTCTCGCCACGTGTGCCTACAGACATTCCACTCTATCAGTGAACGGCGAGCTCGCCTTGCAGTCCCAGCGGTGCAGAGCGCCCAGTGTCGCCATCGACACCGACATGGTTTCCGAACTGGAACCTTCGTCGTCCGACTCAGGCGTCGCGACGCGCTGCGCCGTCGTCAAACCGTTGAAACTCCGGATATGCCAACCGATATTCGGAAAGAAATCCGACAAAAAACATGAGAAATCTCAACCTTCGAAATCTGAGCTCGAACCGGCTCTACCGAAGCAGCACAAACCGAGAGACCCGGAGAGAGAAAAGCGAAGATTAGCTAGGAAAAAGGAGAAGAGGGCGACGCTCATTTTGGGTTTGATCATGGGCAGCTTCATAGCTTGCTGGCTTCCTTTCTTCTTCCTGTACATCCTGAAGGCGGCGTGTCGACGGTGCGTCATCCCGGGCAGCGCGTTCGCGATCGCCTTCTGGCTGGGCTACATGAACTCCGTGCTGAATCCGGTCATATACACGATATTCAACAAGGATTTCCGAAGGGCCTTCAGACGGATACTGTTCAAGTGATGTTTAGCCTACCTGTGCTGCTACCGTTGTGTCGCCAACAGGATCCTGTTGGCGCAGCAGCGGGCAGCACCAGGTCTTTACAATATGCGTTGATCTTTCTCGCGATTACAATTCGTACACGACACAAGAAACACAAGACGAGTTATTTCTTATTAATCGATCCTTTGGAACTTCTTCAAACGTTAACAGAGAAAACCGTTCAAAATAAAAATAGCTTTCATCCTCTCGAAACATTTGTTATGAAGTTGATTTGTTGGAAGTAAAGGTCATTTACTAAACGTTTAATTGCATTCAAAAGGACGGAAGTCGGAATTAGCTATTCCATGTATGGTATTTTTAATGTTTACATTACCGATTGAATTAATAAGAAATAATATGAAACTATACTAACTAATTAATTTATCTTCTATTTATCTGGAATACGTTAGCTACTTAATATAATTTATATATACATTTATTGTTACTTAATTGATATAATTATTGTAAATATATGTTATTCTACATAATCTAAGTAAACCAAAGTCATTAAAAATAGCGATAATAAAAATATTTATTGTATGTTTTCTCTCGAAATATGATCTGATTAAAAATGAAGCCGCTATCTATGTAAAAGTTGAATAGACTGTTTGTTTGATGAAATATTTAACTTTGTTGATTGAAATATGTTGGTTTTAAATTGTTATTTACATATAGTTGTAACTATTACGCGTGTTTGTTTAGGTAAATGTTAATTTTTGTTGGTAAATTACTTTCATGCTACAATATTTATTATTATATGCTACTATAATAATTATGCATATGTATAACAAACCTTTTACACAAGGAATAGAAAATATTATTTATTTTTCAACAACTTCTAAGCTGTCAATTGTCACTTTAAGTGACAATATTCATTCTTAAATAACAATCGTTCGTGTTCCTTTGTAATGATAAAGATCGAAGTATTGTAGAGTCTTTTTAAATACGTAAGAGAATATTTTTTTCCAATAATCAAGATTCTTATAAAAAAATATGACTTAATATTCCAAATGTACAGTGCCCTACTGATAATATATGACTGTGCCTCTGTGCCTATCGATGCACTTTATATAAATGCACTTTACCTTGTTTTAAGTACGATTTAATTACAAAAAAAAAAACATTGTAGGATTCAAAAATCGTTTTGAAGATAGCTTAATTTTTTGAGTAACCGAAGAAAATACTTAAAAAATGTAATAATATACTTGACAGTAGTTGAGTAACAATAATTAAAATATAATTCCAACGTCAAAATTTTGTGATTGCGCGATTAAAGGAAAAGTTGGATCTTAACTTTCTAAAAACTCAATACAGTCGCGATAACATATTGATTGCACAAAGTAATAATTTCGATCAGCCAACCCAACTGTTGTCATAATACTGTACCGTCTGCGGATTTGTATATTTTAGTCAGCGCGGGTCGCAATAAAGTACGAGTAATTAGCGTAAGTCTTAATAATACTAAAAGAACACCAAATTCTATGTAAATTTTCTAATCTTATGAATAGTATTACTCGATATCTAAAGTATACGCCTAGTTCATATGATTCGCGGATCGATGTAAATAAACAGCTGTTTAACTATTCTTTGCCTTAAATCGTTACAAGTTCAGAACGGTTTTATTTATCTAAACCTGCCTTCGACTGAGAGTAATTAATGTCGCATGTCCTTAGTATTAGTTTGATATACGGAAACAGGTTAAAATTGTTTTATAGAGAAGGAATAATCAAAGAACAATTTAGAGTGTGACTTGACGTTTCAGTCCGTTACACTTGGTTTATTTCGCTATAGGCCAAGCGATGGTCCATAGACAATTTGTCGTAATGAAATTAATACTAGGGATACCATCTGTAAATATTTATAAATACATTTATAATTAGTGAAAAAACAACGACTATTTAATTCTAAATTAATAATTATAGAATCTCATAGAGCTCTAAACGCGAAGAGTGAATATTTCTAGTCGTAGCGAGAAAGCAATAGGTATTTTCGTTGAGACTTGAACATTTTTCATGTTGTCTTCCAATGCATGTGTGATCGATAATCATTCCTTAGTTTAACGAACCGGTCTCTCTTATTTCGTAAGATTCGAAACGGACACTTAGGATTACATAATTACGCAGAGAGCCCGTGCTATTTATGGTAATCCTACTTAACGAAACAATGTCTAGAACGCGCATCTAGACATTCTTTCCCCTTAACGCAATAATTATTATTAGTACATTGGTTTATATCGACGTTTTCAAAGTATACAGGTTTTGTACAGAAGTATGATATACCCACTATTTCTTAGAGTACAATAGCGAATTTCGAGATATTATCTAATGTTTAATAGTAGTATATTCCCCTAATTAGAGAATGTTCAATAAAATTGTTCTAAATCTTAAATTACTATTTATATAATAATGTTAATAACTACGCTGTAGCATAATTTGTTGATAATTTCGATTCGCGTCTGTTCCGTTACAGATTCCTGGAACGTATGTAATTAATATACGATTATTCTCTCGAATGTAAAAAAGATTATACGAAGTACCAAATATACAATTTTAATCTTTACTCTTTTATTTTGGTGACATCCTTCCCACTGCGTGTGACCCGAAATGTCAAATTATATCATACAAATCATGTTTTTAATGTTTCAGCCGCGGAAACTGATACTTTTTTACTTTTTAAATATTGTTACAAAGCATGATATACAATCATAATTATTACATTATATCTAGCTAATTAAGGTTATTTGATACATTAAAAACATGTTCTTATAAAGTTATAACTTAAGTTAATGTTAATATCTCATCAATTTAAATTAGGTCAGTTTTGTTTAATTCTTATTATATTTGTCCTTTTTATCAATGATATTAAACACATTTGTAAGGGACCAAACGAACATCATCCCCCCCCAACACGTCTTAAGTTCAAGTTTAATAAAAATACAGTGTAACAACGGTTTCTCTATTTTAAGAGCGGGACATAAACCATAATTGTGTGTTGTAAAGAGAATTTCCAACGTAAGTGCACTGTAGGGTGATAAAAATAAGACAATTTGCGTACAACGCTCTTAAATATTCCTTGGCTGCGGGCTTTATTTTTCGTAGCTAGAAAATATAAGAGTGGGAGCCAGTTGCTTTGCTCCAACTTTTTCTCATTTATTTATTTTTCTATAAACAAACAGAACCTAATTTTTGTGTCCTTTACATCGATAGATATCTTAGTCGATATACCTGACTATTCACATTTCCTTGGAAGTTGAAGGTTCAGCCGGCACTAAACAAGTTTTAATCTAACCAGGAAATGGTGTAAAAACTTAAATGCAAACATTCACACCGAATAAAGATTATCGCCTGCGACGGTCTTATTATATTTTACAACTTAACTTATGCTCAAAACTCAGCGCAACAACCCGCGAACTATAAAACTTGGCGCAGCGACTTTGATACACTTTTACAACTTTAGTTTTAAAGGGAGTCTGGGGTAATTTTCTTCAGATAATAATAATACTTGGGTAACTAAGAAGGTGACACCAAATAGTTCCACTTACATACAATGGCTCGGCTAAAACAACATAGATATATAATGTTTTGTAGAGTTTTGATCATCAAGATAAATTACATGTATAGATTTTATAACATTGTAAATAATGTGTAAAAATCTTTGAATTCTGATAAATAAAACAAATTTCTCAATTGAATAGAAGCTAGAACTTACAACCATTATTTTCATGGGAAACCCCAATGAATTTAATCACATATAATTTATTAGTAATTAGTTGTATAATTGATAATCGTAAAGTATCTTTGTCTAAATCTCTTTTTAGGAGACAGACAGACTTAACAATAGAAATAGACGATAGTTATTTCATTAAATTTATAAGTCAACGACTACCATATAATGCTGAACAATTTCAAATGCAATAATTCAGTTCAGAAGAAGGGAATTGGTGTGTATATTTGGAAATTAAAGTTGTCAAATTTTGGCTCTATTCATTCCGAGTTGTGCCAAAGTTAATTTTAACTAAAACTTTTCAGATTTCATTTCATATCGGGTATGCTTTCAATATGAACCAGGTCATGTTTCTTGGAGGATCTTGATTAAATCTCTTTCTATCGTTGATAAAAGTATGCTTTTCATTTTGCCTTTATGGTAGATACGTAGACGCTTGTTATTTTAAGTGGCTGATATGCTGGTAGTCCCCGTATGCTGGTGGTACTCGACTTAATTACGGAGAATTAAATAATATTATGTACGTATAATTTAATCTTAAAGATTATTAACTACACAACAGTAACCAAAATAAGTGTTCAAAATATTAAACATTCATAGTTTTAAAGATTTATATTATACCCTTTTTCTATTTGTCTGTGGTTTTAAAAATTTTGACAAATATTTTGAGACTGCAGTTAAACTGAAATAATTGTTATCTTATCTGTCAACACGAACTGTCATAACTTTGACAACGTGACACAACATTTACAAAATTCAAAATTTAACGTGAATCACTCATTATAATAAAATAAAATATTAATATACGATTTCAAATAGTACAGCTTCACAAATTGTATATTTCACAAAAATAAATGTGTTTAATGGTTTATATTCTACCCATATTAGTGAGTCCATTTGTATCTTGTATACCGTGCTGCAATTGTTGCATGGACTGCATCGTTCCTGACGAAAAAGAGGCGGGATAATTCCAGGGTCGATTTCGGGGATTCATATGAAAGGTATTTTATAGCTTAAAATTTTATCATCAATCAATCAAATCAGAGAGACTGAACGGCTATTGTTAATTATAATAGCATTTACACTTTGAATTGAAGAAGTTCATGTTATTAATCTCATGATCTTTTCTTCAAGAGAAATGTCCACATTCGTCTTATTATTCCAGTGCATGAAAGCGGTTTTGATGGTGGCTTTTTTCCAAATGTGCCTCAGTCCGTGCGTCATAGTTAGCTGTCCGTTTGTAACCAGCCTCTTCATTGGATGTCTGCCATTATTCTGTCCCGGTGTCATAAATAAGTGTTGCTATGTCGAAGACGATGGCGAACCGCCATACGAAAAAAGACAATGACATTTAAGAAAATGACACCAAATTTAACAAGAGTGAATATTCGTTTGAATGTAACTAAATAGAGCTCTATTTTTTGTAACGGAAGTAACGATGTTACGTATTTACTGATGATCGTTATTTTATTAAAGAAATATATTAGACATAGTGTACAGAGATATTTAGACCTAACATTTAAACACATTTTAAGTGCGGTAAAAATATTGTCAAATATGTACATGGGTATCTTGACGGCATCCGCGGACAAAAGCTAGTCCCACAGCAAAATTTAAATATTGTACGAAAGAAAATTTGCGCAATCCTTTCTTTCCATTTTAATGTTTCAAAGGAAGTCCCCTTTCTTAATAAAATGGCTGTGAATTAAAAATACGAAGGGCACAAAAAAACTTTCCTTTGTGACGAAAAGTAAGAGTTTTTAAAACTTCGCTAAACTCCGTCCGAAATATTCTTATTAATTCACATAAAAATTAATTTGGACGTGGACGAATACTTAATAGAAATGAACCAGTAATAAAACGCGAGGGAAAATTGATTGTTCAAATTCAGTTTAAAAGAGCGTAAGTGGGCATCTGTTAAAGATATATACACTCGTCGTTTGATTCTATAGCCTATAACTGCCATTAAGCACGATAGATTCTGGTTCAAAATTCCGTGAAAGTATAGATAAATGGTTTTTTCGAGATAGGATACAAAAACCCACAACTTTACATACCTTGTAATCCCCTACTTCCAAGATGTGTATTATTATTTACAATTAGCTCGCGCCCGCATCGAAGTTAGCCTTAAATTCAGTTAAGTACGGACTTGGCGACAACTTGAACGGAACTTAATAACTCGACAAATCAAAGCTGTGAAGTTTTAATTAATTTAATGTTCCGATATTATTTGCAGCGGTATTTTGTTAACGATTTTATGGGAATCGCTGCCAGCTGCCTTCGAGTTTAGTAAGAATCCACGCTTAGGATTAGGCAAGGAGGATAAACTGTAAAAAAAATCTTAGTCACCGTTTTAAATAAGTTTAATGAACATTGTACGTTACAGCGAACAGATATGTGTTATATATCAATTTTTTTAATACGTACTGTGTTTAAAGACAATTTTCGATAATTTACCCTCACATAAACTCATTCTGTTTTTTAAATGTATTTATAAACCTAACGAAAACGCTCGTCACTATGCTCAGATATGCAGTGAAAACATATGTAATTAAACTTATTTATTGATTTTAACCTCAAGAGTATTTTTCACGATAATTATTTATTTATTTATATATTCTTTATTGCACAAAAAAAAAATATTACAAATTAAACCTATATACTTGAATGGAGAGCAATGGGCGGCCTTATCGCTAACAAGCGATCTCTTCGAGGCAACCTAAAGTTATGAAATTTTAAGAAAATGAGATGTGCAAGGTAGGCGAAACAAATTAATACAAACAAAAAATAACATAAACAAAAAAAAACACAGAACTTAAAATAAAAACATACAGATCTAAAAAGGTTACATGTTTACTAACTTAAACGAAGGGACTAAATATATTTAAAATAAATAGATAGTGACTTTACTCAGATTATGTATATATAGATAAGATATTTAATCGATCGTTTAAAAGTCCAATAAAAATATAAAAAGTCGATAAAAGGAATACAACATTGTCTTATCTTTAAAATGTTACTCGTGAAAATTGACAGAATTTTGGCTAACAACGAAAAGTGTGAAAGGAAATTTAACAATGTTCTTTTGGGATTAATTTGTTTTCCATGTTTAATAAACCGGGTAAAGCCGCGCCACAGTAGCCAACAAGCAACAGTAGAGACCAAAAATATATCAGCGAAAAAAACCCAACGTCCATAAAATTAAGCAAATATTTCTGGAGTTGAAATTTGGTTCTTTTAGGTATACAACATATTTACTAAACTATTTTTCAAATTAATCTATCATGCGCAACAACAGTGCAAAAACGATATATTAATTGGATTAATAAGGTTTTATTAAATTCTTCTTCGTCAAGAAGTAATATTTATTTCGTAAATTAAACATTGTTTTTTATGTTATAACAGTAGCGGTCTACTGGTCGAAATACACTGTGTTTATGGTAATAACAGTATACATCTCGTAGGGCACATTATTTCAACAGTAACTATTTCTGACAGGTAATCCCAAGAACTTACCTGGCGAAGGGTTAAATTTACTTAGAATGATTTAAGGGCAGAAAATAAATTTCCTCATATGGCATACAATTATCTTCTAAAGAACCTTATTCTTATAAAGATGGCACTAAAAGCAGACTTAGATTCTTCTTAGAAACCCTTATCCTTAATAACTTGGAAGTTTATGTCAGAGGACGATAGGCGAGCTTGGGGCTTACTTTAACTTTTGCCTAGGCCATTCGGAAATCCACAGACTGCAACTTTAACGCATATTACACAATTTTTACATCTTTTGTCTGTGGTTCGTGATCCGGACGCAATTTCAGCATTCCTACCGTTTATCAGCCATACAAAACTATCAGGAACTTTAAATAAAACACTTTTACTATCAGGAAGTATAATGAGTATAGATTATTATTTATTTATAGATGATACTTTTGTCTAGGTTTTAAGCGGAGCGAATGAGGAGGAAGGAGGTATATATAAAATGTCTAACGTCATATCTTCAATCGATGTGACCAAGTTTCGTGTAAGTTCACACAATAGGCCATAGATAGCTCTGTGACACACTGACATGTAGAATGACAAGCTGAAGTTATAACAAAATACCTTTTATTATAATGTGATTATTAATCTCGGATGTTTAATTCACAAGTCTTTGATTTGACTAAATAGCAAATTAACTAAGTAGTGTGTTTAACTCCAGACGTAGTCTTGATTCTACTGTATGTTTAAGTACTATTTTAATGCTTACGAGTAGAGAAATACATAAAATTTTATTGTAGTACAATAAAATTTAGTTGTAGATAAACGTGCTCAAATGCTTTAATTTAATGTGACCTTTTAAAATTAGATCAAATTAACAGCTATAAACTATTAAAAACTGCATAATAGTGATACATTATATTATATTCTTTGATAGTGTGCCACTAAGTTCAATAGTTATCACGCCACACTTCTGTGTCGTGTGTAGTGAATTGAGTTGTTCGTTTCGCCACGAGGGAAATGTTCCCTTAAACTTGCACAAGTAATTGAAAATTAGATTTCTGTGTTCGCCATACACCCAATATATAGCAAGTCCTTATTAGTTCAGCTACTGGTTTATTCCATTACGAGTCAAATGCTGATGTGGATAGAATGTTCCACTACGGGGACCCTTACGGGATTTGTCAGAATAGAGCGTTGTAATATAAAGGAAGTTGGAAAGTTTTTTTATTAAACTTTAGGAGTGATATTTTCCAATAAGAATTTTCGGTTATTTTGAAGTGCTTTTAAGTATACTAAAGTACAACAACTTTAAATATATTAAGTATACTTGAAGTTGTTTTAATGAGTATAATAAATTAAGTATACTTGTGTCAGCAACTTTGTAGACTGTGTAAAAGAAAATTCACGTTATCGAATAAAGAATTGAATTGACGGCGAAAAGTGATGTTTTGTTGGAAAATAAAAGGTTCGGGACGGAAGTTTTATCGCGGCACATTCGGGACGAAAGTTTTTATAAAAATTCTTGTTGATAATTTCCTTGGTTGGTTTGAGCGTGAGCGCCTTTTGTTATTTTATCTCTTCTCTGGGAATTTCAAGTTCTATTATGAATGTAGACTATTTTGATAACAGTTAAAACTATGCAAGTGAAATACAAAATTACAAAAGAACGGCATAAAAATGTATTTCAAGTACTTCTTCTATTAATACATTTTAATTAACACATAAGTAGTACAAAAATAAACTACTTACTTCAATAAATAGTGTACACTTTAAAAATACTTTTCGTACTTATATTCATAATATCGATTTATTTATAGATTAATTCCTTTTTATTGACCTTCTACTGTCGTTGATTTTGCTTACAACCAATCCTTATGAAAATGTAAAACTAAACTAAAATCAATAAAACTTAGCTTAAAGGTGTCGTTACCAGGCCATTACATATTTAAAAAAAAACTAAAGAAATTTAAATCTGTGCATTTTCGTAGATACGTTTTTAGGACTTCTATTAATTTGAGCATAAAATTATGTTTTTTACAAAGTAAATTTGTGGTAGCTCATTAGTTTGATATATAATCCAGTGTCTCAAAGTGTTTTTTCACAATTTCATGTAAATTGTGTGTTTGTTTACTAATAATTCCAAGTAAGAAAAATTATACGCATTCATTATTTTGTTTATTAAGCATATCCACAGTGTTCGTTACTCGTCTATGGCCCAGTGTCAACAATTATTGTAAATTGTCATTTATACCCGTACCTTACCTTAGTACCTTGTCAATTGTCAGTTGCTAGAATTTGAAGAATCATTAAATTGTTCTTGTGCATTTTGTAGTGGTCTTTGAATTGAATTTAATTAAACGAAGTTTAAAAATATGGAGCCTGTACGTGAAAAAGCATTTCAAGATTATCGTAAAAAACTAATGGAGCACAAAGAAGTCGAATCGAGACTCAAAGACAGTAAGTATATCGGTCAAAAGTAATCAATTTGTGCCGAATCATCTCTTACCGTTTCCAATGATATTGTTTATTGAATAGAAACACAATAAAACCAATTGATTTTTGTTGTTATTAAACAATACGACATTTACAAAACTATATATTTTTATCGTAGTACCGTACAACAAGTGTAATTAAACCATGCTATGATTTTCAGTGAGAGAGCAGTTAAAAGACCTCACAAAGCAGTATGACAAAAGTGAAAATGATTTAAAGGCCTTGCAAAGTGTTGGCCAGATTGTTGGTGAAGTATTGAAACAACTGACGGAAGAGAAATGTAAGAGTAACAATATAAAACTGCCAGTCGTACCAATAAACTAATGGTTTTTGGTTTATTTTTCTCTTACACACATTGTTTAATGTTCCTAAACATGTCAATTCGCTAAAAATATGGATTAACCTCTTGTAGTGCTTATTGTTGTGTATCTCTTTTAATAACATAATTAGAATTAAGGAATATGAAGAATAATCTTGTGTATGCAATATTAATTCAAACATTTAAATAATGAAATAAAGATAGGACCAGAATAAATGCTTTACTTACATATATTTTATGGATGGAGTCATGCTATTTAAAGATATCATCTTTTTCAGTCATTGTCAAGGCTACAAATGGTCCTCGCTATGTAGTGGGCTGCAGACGTCAGTTAGACAAGAATAAGTTGAAAGGAGGTACTAGAGTAGCACTAGACATGACTACACTCACTATAATGAGGCATTTACCGAGAGAGGTATGTTTAACATTTAAATTTGGGTAGTTTCCTGGGGCATTGCATTTCTATATTTACTTCGGTTCCTGGCTTAAGAGAAAAAAGAACCTATTACTGAGACCATGCTGTATATCTCCCACCAATTAATAAAATCTGTTCATGTTTATTGGTTTAAATCAGTGATTCCCAAAGTGGTGTATATAGACCCCTAGGGGTCTATGACAACAAATTTGGGGGTCCATGAGATAAAAACAGGTTTCCACGATAGTGGCTCTCAACACATACACTGATCATACCTGTTTACTTACATCATAATATCTTATAATATCAAAACATACATTATTTATTAAAGTACCTATAAAGTAAAAAAAATATTATATATGTTGAATAACAGATAAAAAAAAATATTTTTAGTTCTTTTAATTTAAATTCAATTAATAAATGTATAAATGAACATCTGGTTTTACTTTAAGTTTTTAACACTAAACTTCACAACAGTTACAAATTGACAGCAAATCAATATCAGGTAAGTAGGGGGTCCCAATATGGAAGACAATGGTAAAGGGGTCTACTACAGAAATTTTTCGGGGAACTCTGGTTTAAATTAATGATATTTAAAATTGAAATTTTCTTGCTTTGTTATTGATACATATCCCTAATGGAAGAATGTGGGGCGACACTTGCCCATTGTATTTGATTTAAATTGTATAGTGCCTTCATGTGCAATAACATGTGAAAAATATTAATGTTTTCAAATGTTAAAACAATTTTTTGAGTGACTTGTTGATTGCAATTCTGGGTTTAATGTTTACAAGTTGCAGATTAAAAGAAAACTGTATGATTCCTTAAGACTAGTTATGATTTACTTACACATTAATTAACTTTTCACATTTACCTAATTAAATGGAATGCTTCTGTTCAGGTGGATCCTTTAGTATACAATATGAGTCACGAAGATCCAGGTGATGTCACTTACTCAGCTATTGGAGGTCTACAGGAGCAGATCAGGCAGCTGAGAGAGGTACGTTCTACATTTTATTTGACAATGAAAACCCTTTTATAATATGATCTCTCATCACAGATATGCATGAACTTTATGTAAATATTAAATGTATATGGTTTTAAAAAATATATACTAAATAAATGTTTCAAATAGCGCAAGTATTTTTATATATTTGTGTATTTTCAGGTTATTGAACTGCCACTCCTGAACCCAGAATTATTTGTGCGTGTGGGCATCACCCCACCCAAAGGATGCCTTCTATATGGACCCCCAGGAACTGGAAAGACTTTGCTTGCTAGGGCTGTTGCTTCACAACTTGATGCTAACTTCTTAAAGGTAATTTATTCATTCCTATCCTAACTCAATGGATATAATCTATATATATATTTCTTAAACTAAAATTTAAACAATGTTGTAGTAGCGTGAAAGGTTAAAGTGGCTGTTACCACAAATCAATTTTGTCCCTTAAATATGATACCGCCAAGGGAAATTGTATATTTAAACAAATTACAGCTTAATACACACTTTGCAGGGTTAACACTACAATGTAAACAAAATAAATAGGTATTTGTTTGAAAACTTCAACATCTTTCACTTGATGACATTTTATGAATAAAAACAAATATTGAAAACATTTTACGAGGATGCTGGTACCCCACCCAAACTAGTACCAGCATCCATAGCGTTCCTTGCTTGATGATCCATGTTGCTCTAACCCTTTAGCTCAATTGGTCAAAACTAACGCCCGTGTCCAAATATATTTTTAAATTATGATTTTCAATTTAGGTTTTTATTTACTTAATCTACAGTGACACTGCCATAACATGAATAATAAATTTCCAGGTAGTGTCATCTGCAATCGTGGACAAATATATAGGCGAGTCAGCTCGTCTCATTCGTGAGATGTTTAACTATGCAAGAGACCATCAACCGTGTATCATATTCATGGACGAGATTGATGCTATTGGTAAGTTTTTTTTTAGCATGATGGTAGGTAACATATCCCAGCTATCTAAACGAGATGTCATTTTAGCTTTGTATATTCGGAAATCCTGACTGAGACTGAAATAAAAACGTGATTAAACTTCATAACTTTTTCATCTGTTCCGGACGGTGGTTCGTGACGCGGATGCAATTTCAATTGTCCTACCTCCCATTCAAAATCCAGATTTTTATCAAAATCCAACATGTTTTAGAAAAACCCAGATTCGGTGGGGATCGTATCCTCAACCTGTGATTATTAGCCATACTTTACTATCGTTACACCAACGAGTCCAGACCTAATTCAAAGTTCCACTATTACGCAGTTATTGTCCAACAAATATTCTTTAATAAGAAGCAACACAATTTGTGCGCGATTTTATAAATCCAAAAATTCCACAGGTGGTCGTCGTTTCTCGGAAGGTACCAGCGCCGACCGTGAGATTCAACGAACCCTCATGGAGCTATTGAACCAGATGGACGGCTTCGACTCTCTGGGTCAAGTGAAGATAATCATGGCTACCAACAGGCCTGATACCCTCGACCCGGCTTTACTGAGACCCGGACGTCTCGACAGGAAGATTGAAATTCCATTGCCTAATGAGCAAGCTAGGTGAGAATACATTTAATTAAATATTTATGTCCACATACATTGCATTGTCTCTACTTAATTTTTTTAACTGTTTTTATGATGAGATTGTTACATATCCCTTTTATTAATTCATGCTTTTTTATTATAAAGTTAAAAGTTGGTTTGGCTTGGTCCACCTTCAATAAATACATTGTCCCATGTGTGGGACAGAAACATCTATATCCAATGCACTAAATAGTTTGTTTTATCAAATATACTTGAATATAAAAATAAAGTCTTTTGAAGTATTAAGTGCCATTGAGACAGTTTTATTGACAATAGTGGACAAATTAATTAATCATGATACAATTTATTACAGACTGGAGATTCTTAAAATCCACGCGGGGCCCATCGCTAAACATGGTGAGATGGATTATGAGGCGGTGGTGAAACTATCTGACACATTCAACGGAGCGGATCTTCGGAATGTCTGCACTGAGGCTGGCCTCTTTGCTATCAGAGCAGAGAGGGAGTATATTATACAGGTATTTAGTCATTATTATGTTTACTACTCCATGAAGTGCAATTTCTGGAAAATACATCTAATGTAATTTAAAAATCGAAAATAAATTGAAAGAATTTTCGACTCGGGCAGGATTTGAACCGGCATCGTCAGCGTTCCGTGCTGTTTGCTATACCAATTGAGCTACCGAGTCATACACCTCTTGCGCAAAGTACATCTAATGTTCTTAAATTTTCAGGAGGATCTCATGAAAGCGGTGCGTAAGGTCGCCGACAATAAGAAACTCGAGAGCAAGTTGGATTACAAGCCTGTTTAATTTTCTTTATATATTTTTATGTATCAGTCTATTCACTATCTTTGATAAATAATTTTAGGACAAAAATTTCTTTTGTTTCGAAATCAAGTCAGTTATATAATTTCAATGTAAAACTGAAATTTAAAAATAAAAGAAAACTTCGTAAAATTTATATAAATATTTTATTGTTTATTTAAATATTACTTTATAACAATATTATAAAGTAATATTTAAATAAACCGCAGGGCACAGAGCCACGATAAACTGGAGCGTGATCTTGCCATTTGAAATAAATAACAATGTCCCTTGTTCTAATTTCTACTTAATAAAGCTCGGAAGAGTACCATTTTTACGTGCCTTAGCAACATTTTCATAGTAACAAGTAAAATCCACATAACCCTTTACCCGTTTGTCCTTTTCATAGGGCCGATTCGGATAAATATCAGACGTCGATTCAAGCGATCGATTCGTATCCACAATCGAGTCGTTCGTTTCGCAATCGTTCGTCCCAGACGAATACAACTCGGAATCGATTTCGTTCAGAAGCGTGTTCGATTTCGACTGAACGATCGGATTGAATCTGACGGATGTCGTTTGCTTTTGACAGCTGTCATTTTGAGGTATTGGCGGGAGAAAGTTGAAATTACGAATGAGGAGGGTTATGTGCGTGTTCGGTTTCGGCGTCAAATTGTTTTTCAGGCAGTACGAGACGAAGTCTTCTTCGATCTCTTCTAGGACGGACTGACTGACGCGCGTAAAGTCTGACTGCTTGCGGAAGTTTTCGACGATTTTTTGCGCGAGCTGTTTGTTAGTTTCCTCGCTGTTGCCCTTCACTTCTTGGATGCGTTTGTAGACTCCGGCGCTGACTAGAACAAGGAACCTGAAAAGATATTGTACATTTTAACAATACTTATTATGATTTGCAATTGTGCATTTATTTAATTTAAAAAATATTCTAATTGTCATATTAAGCATCAAATGTCAAACATAGAAGTGCAATTATTTGAATTATAAAATTTTATGCATAATATAGTTGCTTGTGTGTTACAAGTTTAAAACAGAAGAGGGGTACCCCACCCCTTGTAAAAATATCAATATTATTCTACATATGAAACCAACAACCAAGTTGTTGTCATAGTCTGTTCATCCCTATGTATGAATCTGATCGGATTCTGGAGTGTTTTTTAGTAGATAAAATGATTAGTATGTATAAAATGTGAATACAATTTAGAGAATCACTGATAAATGAGAAAAAGAAAGAGGGTTCTATTGTAATGAGTATTGCAATATAAAACTTCTAACAGACCTGCAAGACTGATCTAATGCTATAGGTCCATGTATCTCCGGAGCAGCAACAACGGGTTCAGAAGTGGCTGTGCTGATGCTTGGAAATGCTTTGTAAAGCCCCTTGACTAGGTAATTGCCCAGACATCTTGTGCCTGTTTGGTTGCCCAAGTATTGAACTGAAAGAGTTAACGGAATCACTTATTAAAAGTAAAACACTGTTTGTAAATCATGACTGATACCAAAAGGGCAGAACTCGGATGACATTTGACTGACTATTTGGTGAGTGGTATGTATGGCTAATAATAATCAACTAGGCCCAACATTTTTCCTAATCATATGATGATTGTTCTGAAACATGCTGGACTTGGTCTCGAACGAACCACAGCCGACATGAGAAAGCCGTGGAGTTAAATCACGTTACGGTTTTAATCAGTGCATTTCTGAATATCAATATATCAAGTCGCATAGGTTGATAGCATTGTTTAGATGTCATATGGCTTGGTTATTTGATCTACAATAAAATTAATAAAAAATAAATAAAAAATATATCCTCCCTGTGCTTTCTAATCAAACAATGGTATTATGTATATTACTTACAGTTTCTCAATTTGTTAACATCTAAACCCAACTGTGACAGCCTTAATAATTCGTCTTCATTGTTCAAACTATGGTCCATGGTCAGTTGGACAACTCTTAGTACAGAATTGTCATCGGTCCTGCATAAAAGTGCCCTGGTTTCACCGACATTGGCTACAAATAGCTTGTTATTGTGGACCAGAGCAAGAACTACAGTCGTACCGCCAGACAGATGTTGGTCAATCTCTTTAAGCCTATGTAGAATGTTGTCACAGTTTTGGGATATCTGTAATATAAAAATTTTCATAAATCATAGTACTAGATAATTTTGCATTTATGATTACAAAATACTATTAAGACGGAAACACAATGTTACATTCGAAAATATTCATTTATTATCCCAAATTAGGCTTAGGCGACAAAATGCGTGCCATCGTTCGTATTTGACAGTTGCCGAACTAGTGTGGGGGCGCGCGCGTTAGCGCGTAGCACTAGTCTTGTGTCGTCGCTGCTAAGTCGGAGGATTATTCATATATATAGGTATTTTAAAATGGCAGTTATAAAAATCGTGGTATTTTTTACATTGCACATCATATCATAAAATAAATAAGAAATCAATTGAGATTTAAAAAATATTACAATAGAAGCAGAACTTTAACCGGGTTTCACAGATTTCTGTACAGCTGATCTAACACTTGTGTTACTGTGTCCTATTCAAATTTGCCCGTGTTGTTAAATTGTTTCAAACTGAATAGATAAGATTACATAAAATATACACTTTATTTTTTTGTAGGTATTTCTAGATTTTATTTGTTCTTGGTAATGTTATAAACAAACATCTTTGTTAAGCTTAGTACAATATCTTGAGCTTTAAACAATAATTAATTAAATGTTCAAATTACCATATTTAATAGTTTTAAAAGTAATACTTACTTACCTCAGTTTTATTAAGGGTTTGTAATCTGTATTGCAGACTTGTTCTTTCAGCTATCATTCCATCATAATTTTCTATATATGCCTTTTCTACGGATATGAAGGCATTCCTGAAATTTTAAATATAAATAACTGGTTATATTCTATATATTACACACTACACATCTCCATTTTGCTAGGAGGGAACAATTAACTAAGCTAATTATTTTTTGCTACAGAGTCTATATATAGTTCAGGGTACACTCATCTAAAAAAAAGAATGAAGAAAAAAACACTACCTGAGGCGCTCCCTTATCTCCTCGTCTGTGTTGTGAATGGATGGTGGTGGAAAGAGGAGCTCAGCGGCCATTCTTTGCATAATAAACCTAGCTGCTTCCAAACCATTATGAGGTTCAAACACTCCATATAAACAACTGCAATAACAAACGAATCAGCAACCCGACTATTTAATGATGTCGTATCATTTTAGAGATGTGTTGTAAATAAAAGCATTATCAACATAATACATACGAATTGTCTTCCGTTTGGCAATAGAAACACAAGCAGTCATCAGTAGAGCTAGAATCACCAAGCTGAGAGAAACACGAGGCGACACAAGTATTCCTACACTTGGGCAAGTCCTCTGTCCAGGGTCGGGCTATCATTTTCAATTCAACAATTATATTTCCATTAAATAATTCTTCTGAGATACCTAACTATTTTTGGTAATGTACATGAATGATTTGAAGTCGATATGACAATAATGAACAGATAATACTTGACAATGACAGTTGTCTGAAGGTCTTTTTTCCTTAATATATTTGCACCATCTGCTAAAATCCTTAATTAGCATCTAACATTTAAAGAAATTAAAAGAACAATACAATGTGTTCAATTAAAAATTAACTTTGCAACTTTATGTGATTGAACATATTTTCTTGAACAATGCCGAAATATGATAGAATATCTATTTAAATAAAGCATCTGGCGGTTGTTAAAATAAATTGTAAATACATATGTATCTAATATACCTATGTATTTACAATTCATAGTATTTCATTTAAATGTACTTGCGTAAACTACACAAAATGCTTATAGAAATATATATTCAGTTATTCATAAGGTTTATAAAAATCTAACAAATATTTACTTATAAAATATTTTTTACAAATCTCAACACTATAGCTACTTATCAATTTGTGGTTTTTGGTAATGACTGATAACGTTTCTATCAACTGACTTCCTTACCTACTGACCCTTTACTTTTTTATGTAATTATTTTATGTAGAAGTGCGATACATATAATAAATAGTATCACTGAAGGCATTTTGGGATGCATCATTTAAAAGGACAAATAGTAGTATAACCAATGAAATAATAAAAACACAGTTCAAGATTAAAGTTTATGTCACATACAGCCATAACAAAAACTCCAACCGTTTTTCACATTTTACAATTTTTATATTTTATACAATATTGACTCTCGCTAGAGCTAACTTGTGTTGAAAGCGGACCAGATTTCAAAATATAGTTATATGACATCTATGACTTCAAATAAACTTATTTAGTTTATACACTTAAAATGAGAGTTAGTGTAAGATGTAGCATGGATGCAGGCTTCCAAAGACATGAGTCCGCAAGGCACCGTCACCGAAACATCAAAAGAATCATGGTAAATCAAACATTTTATTAACGTAACAAATTTGAGACACACCTCATAGGCTTTGGAAACCCTAGCGTTCACTTTGATCAATTAAAACTAATCCTGTCTAATCGGTCTTCTTGTCGGCTACTTTGGTTTCTGCCTCAGGTTTCTTTTCCTCCTTTTCTTTTTCTTTTTCCTTTTCCTCGGTGATTACCTCTTTGGCCTCCTGTTTCGAGGCTTCATCGAAGTTGCCGACTAGGTTAGGTACTTCATCGTCCTCATCTATGGGTTTCGGGACGGCGACACTGGACGCTATCCTCTTAAGCTGGTTGAGCCCTTCGGGGCCGAGCTGGCTGAGAATGCCGGGGAGCATCTCGGCTATTTGCTTGTTCTCACCGTGACCGGTGATGGCGAAGGTGTTCGCCGCAAGCGATGCCTGGGCCTTAGGGTTATTGAAGTGAATCACTGTGCCGTCATCTTTAATCATATTTACTTCCTCGATGCCGGGGATCGTGTTCACTGATAACTTTTTCAGGGATGACTGTAGCTTTTTGTCATCCGTCGCGGCAGTCGCGTGGACCACCTTCTTCTTGCGTCTAGGAGTACCCTTACCTCCGATGCGCACCTGTGACTGCAACTTCTTCAGCTTTTCCGTGTTCATTTTACTTCCTTTATATTTGTCACAAAAATAATAAAGTGCGCTGCACCTTTTTCTATACTTTTAATTGTATTTTAAACGCAAACACTTAAGTTTTCCATGTAACTTGATAGTACGCACGTGTTTTGAACACCGGTTAGTTATAAAGGGAAAATGGTGGACTTACGACGCAGTGTTGCTGACAGTAAGAAAATGTATTGCCAAATAATTACCTAAAACTGCTCGTAATTACAATAATAAAAATTAAAGGAAATATTATTATTTATTTATTATTATGCTTGTAAATAAGACTATGTGGCGTCAAATTGTTTTAATAAAAAAAAATCAGAATTACCAAGCTTACAATTAAAATAGATATTACCAAAATCGTAATCAAAATGATACATGTGATAGGATATTTATAGATTCATTTATAGGCTTATGCCTTTTATCTTTTTTTATTAAAGCATTATTGTTTTGATATAACATTACTCTAGGAGTGCTAGTAGCCATAAAGATAAAAATCATCCTAAACGCGCAGGATCCGTAATATCGGCAACACCATTTTTTTTAGTCATTTTCGAACCGTATAGTTGGCAGCACTGTAGATATTTGTTTCTTTTCACGTATTAAACAAAGTTTGTCCCCTTGTTAGAAAGGTAGTATTGGTTTAAAAAATAAGAATAATAATATTATCGTTAATAATGTATTATTTAATCGTTTTTGTAGAGATAAGCAAGATACATATACAATGACATACCATTTAAATAATTATTTTTAAGTATATTACCATAATTTCGTAAAGCTGTCAATCCCTAAACATTTATGTTTTTATGCATCTAAGCCTATAAAATATTGTGTTTAATGAAATACCTATATTCCTATTTCTTTCGTCCTTACCTTACAACTTATAAATGTACGTGTCTACGTAAATTGTTAACACAGTTTGACACAGATGGCGCTATTTACAATTTACTTTGAATTATATTATTTCATATTTTCATCAACAGAGGGCTGTACAGTCTGTTGAAATGTATTGCAGAATAAACATTAACAAGAATAACAATAATTGTAGAAAAGTAATTGAATTATGCATAACTATTTACAAAAGAACACAACATGTAGAACAATTGTAAGCAGACTGAATAAGTTTTTAAATTAAATTATCTTGTTTTCTTCTTAACTACGTCGTTCAGGAAGCGATTTGATGATACTTTTTTGTAGATAAGTAGAACATTTTAAGGTGGCCCCATGTTCAATCAGGGTGTGATGATCACAAACTAGAAACATTTAGGTGAAATTTTAAAAATCGTAGTGCTATTTAGGCAATTGGTTCTGTTTTTCACGACTCTATCTGGAAATCGCTATCACCACGGTGGGTAAACGAGGGATATATAAAAATTATAAAAGAAATTTATAAATCAATTACCGCGAGAATCCAGCTCGATACAATAGGACCCGAATTCAAGATTCAAAGAGGCGTAAAACAAGGGGACCCCCTCTCTACAAAACTGTTTATTTCGACTCTAGAAAACGTCTTTAGACAACTAGATTGGGATAGTAAGGGCTTTAATATTAACGGCAGACATATTCACCACCTCAGATTTGCGGATGACATAATACTTACTTTTCTCAGAAAACTTACTCGAACTCGAAGATATGATTGACTCGCTAAACAAGGAAAGCAAAGCTGTAGGACTAGAAATGAATACGAGCAAAACGAAGATCATGACATACACATGAAAGACACATATAAATATTAATGGCCAAAGCCTAGAATATGTGGACGAATATTCATTACATCATTTAAATTATTATATCATTCAAAAACTGCACAGACAAAGAAATTGATCGACGAAGTGCAGAATAACACATTTTTAGTTCGTGTTTAAAATTTAATTAACACTTAATACGTACTTTGTGCCAAGTCAATTTATTTTTAAGTTTTTAGTTATCTACTGTTTAAAGTCGGATATTTTTTTGTTATTTTTTTTACAGTCTTTTATATTTTTCACGTGTTAATGGACATCATGGCATTATATAAAATGAAGTGTAGGATCTAAATAGATTTTTAATTCAATATTAATATATTAAAGATACGTTTTATTGAATTTATGTATAAAATTAAGGACATACCTACTAACATCTACATTCTTTTAAATAGGACGCAATTTCGATTATTAAATAAGTTCTTCCCGACGTTTAAAAAATTAGGAACTGTCTAATATAATTAAAAAATAAGATACATAATAACCATAAACACACGTTTTTACAATAATACCCCAGTGCGTCAGCTGAAAGTAATCTGTTAGAAGCACTTAACTTAAGAGGCCTGTTTTTAGCTCAGTACATCAAATTGCTCAAATAAACTGAAAATTACTCAGCCGGCAAATCAACATAAATATGATTATAAAAAACCTATAAACACGTAACGCGCCCTAAATATAAGTGCATTAGTTTCTTATTTACTCTTAGACAGACGCGTGAAAAAGGAGTTTCATAGAAGCGAAGTGAAACATACGACTTGCTATTCTATCATTATAAAGATAAATAGGATAGAGTTATCTGCTTCTAATTATTTTTTTGTTTGTAACACTTAATAATTTCTAATATAAAAAAATCCTTAGAATTATTTTTAAAACAATAACACAAAAACAAATCAATGTCTTAGATGGTGAAATGAACTAACAATCTACTTCAATGAATATCAGATTATTATAACTTTCATGACTGTATTATTATAAACATTTAGTAACACCCCTATAAAAATCGTCTGCTTTGCTGCAAATGCGAAATCTAGCGACACTGATTAAACTATTTAAACATTATATTTCGTATTAATTTGATTGGAATAAAATTTTATAAATAAATAATAAAACTTCTCTGCGCGACGGTACATCTATCATCGCAATCAGTAAGTGCGCGAACTGCGTTCCGAAACGTTTTAGCGAAACATTCAGTAATAGCATCGTGTATCGACGTTCGGGAATTATTAATAGCTGTCATATTGTTCATGATGGCGCGAAGATGTCCCGATGACAGCTTTACACCACAGATACATTGAAGTGCATTAAGTAATGTAGATAAATATTTATGGGACGATCGCTCGGGTTTATGAGTTGTTGAGTGACGTATATTTTCTATATTACGTGGACTTTATTCCTGGTATCCTGTTCGTTAATTACAATACTTGAGAGATTTCGAGAATTTAAAAAAAATACGCTCCTTATAGACGTCCGGGTCACAAATAGCGATTGAAGCTTCCGTCCAGCTCCTCAAGCTCCCCCCCCCCTTGGGGGGGGCCCGGCCGGGGGCGGCCCCCCCCCCCGGGCCCCCCTTTTTTCGCCCCCCCCCCCGGGCCCCCCCCCCCCCCCCCCCCCCCCCCCCCCCGGTTTTTTTTTTCGCCCCCCCCGCCCCCCCTTTTTTTTTTTTTTTTTAGCAGTGTAGGTACAGATAATAAACAGTAATCGCGTTTCGGCTTCTAAGTCTGTGGCTTTACATCAACTAAACCCCATAAATGTCTATACTCTATACTCTGTAATAAAAAGCATGTTTTTCCCTTAAGTTTTTGTTCTGTATAGCATAATTATCAAAGACAACTGTTTTGAAGCTCACAAAATGACATTCAGTATTTTATATTATTTTAGCTAAGTAGATCTCGTCCCATATTTGTATCTACTTATACTTTAGGCGGGGTGCACACCTAGGTTATCTAAATAAGATTTTTTTGAGTAATATAACACTTTAAATATTACTAAGGTATAAGTAAATAAGCAATTATTTTCCATTACTTAGATGATCTGTGTAAATCGTAGAATAGGTATATTTTTTGCTCTACATTTAAATTAGGCGACGTGTTCTATGCGGTACCACTAATAATTTATGTTAATAGGATACGTTTCCGAACAAATTTCGAAAGCGACAAAAAACGTAAGCTTGCAGCGTGACAATCGTCGGGTCTTTTTTTAGATTTTCCCGCGTTCCAATTAATCAGGACCGTTTTGGTTTTAGTCTGTCGTTTGAACAATTATTACACCTCGTTATCATTCTGTCAGAGCGTGAAAAGGACAGATTAAAATAGGCAAAAATGAGCGTTTAAAAATTAAAACAAACAGTTATCTAGCGAAAGCTTTTATTAGAAAAATAACTCATGTGCGATTAATATAGCGGTAATAAACCGATGAATAATACCATAACAATTCTGACAGATAAATTGCTGCCATTTAAGCCAAACATGACGCATCAGTCGTAAGAAACCTTTTAAGTATCACATTACAGCTCTTAAATCCTATTTAATCTTTATTTTTTGTTTTAAAATGAGTTTCGAGATTACCGGGTGACATAATATAAAATACAACCGTTTCTAAGATTCTAAACTCATTAGTTATCTAAACAGGTCGGATTAAGAGGATCCTTGAACGACCACCCATTTGCGCGCGACCTTTGACAGATGTCAGATACGGCGGCATTTTTAGTCTTTGTGCGATATTTATTTGGCGACAAATTATGTTCTATCCGTAGATGAATCAGTAGTCAGTCAGAGTAGTAATTTCACGGTTAACTTGAGTGGGCTGGTTAATTGCTTTAGGTTATTTATTTAAATGGTGGCTTTACATTTTTGAAACCAATACCTAGATTTAGGTTTAGTGGGATTTTAAAAAGATACCTACTTTAAAGTTTTTCTAGTTAACAGTTACAGCACACCTGAATATGTGGTATCTTCTGTGGCTAAGTTGGTAGACAGTACGGTAAATTGTTGGAGGCTTAGAGTCTTGTTTTCAATGAAATAAAAATATTCAGATAGCTTAGACGTACATACTCCATATACATCTAAGTGACCTTTTTGTGAAGATATTTGTATCTACTTACATTTAAAGATTAGTCGAAAAAAAAATAAAATTCCTAACAGTTTTTACGATGAGGGTTACTGTTTGATAATAGTTATATGTCCATTGTTACAAAATACATTTACGGGCACAGTAAACCGGAATCCCATCAAATACAGAGGTCCGATATTTGTTCAC